AAACTTGGTTGACTTGGTCAACCAAGTTGACCTAGGACTAAGAGTTGGGTCCCTTGAATTCCACTTGGTCTCATGAACCTAATGGATGGGGTGTCAAGGTGTAGAGAGGTCACTTGGGTCAAAATGACCATTTTAACCCTTAATGGGTCATAAGGTCAAATTAGGTTGACCTGGTCAACCAAGTTGACTGTTTGGAATTGGGTCTATTAGGTCCTAAATATTATTTAAAAATAATTGGAGAAGATTTCAAAGGTTGATGAGTCAAATCAAGTTGAGTTTAGGCCAAAAGTTCAAAAATCCCCTTTAAGGGCATTTTGGCCTTAAGTTAGTTTTGGGTCAAATTGAATCTAAAGAGATGTGAATTATTGCTTAACAAGTCAATATCAAGGTATTGAGAGTGATCAAAGGGTTAGAGGGGGATCCAAATTTAAATTCCACTGGGTGAAAGGTCTAGTGACATGGATTATAAATATTTGAATGTTTTATAATCTTTGAAACTGGATTAAGTTTATGGTTTTAAAGTCCTCCAAATGAGTTCAAATTTGGAGGGTTGGCATTAGAGACATGTCATATCAATATGAAATTGACAGACCCTGAACCAGATGCCAATTGACTGTGTTTCAAGGTGATAAAAAAATCATCTAGAAAGGATTTTAGGACCTGAGTCTTTAACCCTGGATTCTGGGTTTGAATTGAGTTAAGATCTAGATTGGGCCTAAGGTCTAGGAACTAGGAAGATCCTAGGATCTAAAATCCAAAGAAACCTAAGGTCCAAAACTTAGGAAGGGGTTGAAAATGACCTCATACAAAAATGAGGTCAACACCAAATTCTCACTACAAATTTAATTTTTAAGTCTCTTTTTTAAATCATACAAACATCAAATAAGCTAATCATATTTAGAATTCTTATCTAATCTTATTCATGTCACATGTACTCTATTACCATATGAGTGAGCATTAAAATAAGTAACCCATCCTATAAGCAACTCTTAAAGTTAACATATGAACTTAATCCTATACTGGCACATAGGTAGGGTGGACAATATTCAAAGCAACAAAATAAAAACATTCAAAATTTTGATGATGACTGTGTTAAAAGAAAATATTTAATCGAATGAACTCTACTTTCAAAATGGCAAAAAATCTTAAAACAAAATCATTTGGGGTCCAAATCCTAATGAAAATTTAAAATCCAAAATCATTATGAAATCTATTAAATTAAAATTAAAATCGACTACTTCAAACTTAAGGTAATAAACATTTATCCTCTAAAACCATTGGTCAAGGTAATAATATAAGAGTAACATCAACTTACGAAGAGTGAATGTCATGTCTAGCATATCTCTATGTTCACCCTCAAATAATCTCTTGATAGTATGGATGTAGCACGTGTCTGCTAACTAATAACTTTCTCATCAAATGACACCTTAGATAAATAGTTATGAACAAGGCTCTCTAACCAAGTAGTTAGGTGCAAAATATCACCATTAAATTACAGTCACAGTTAAAGCTTGAATATATGTTTCCTAATTACTCCAAAACTCTTGAGTGGTGAATCATATTACATACCTGATAGGGCACAAAATTTTATATTAGCTAAAGTCAATTTAAACTCACAATAATGTGTATGTTATTTATGATGTAGGTACCTGTAGGCAAATATTTTCCTTAATGTATAAGATTCCCTTAGGCAATGTAACCCATGGTTGCTGAAAAAGATCCTTTTGTCTTGTTGGGTTGAGTGCCTATGCTAACTAAGTAAACTATGAATCATGATAAACCAAAATGAAGGAACTATAAGATCTTGATCGGGTTCGTCATCATTTCCGCTTATCATTTGCTTTAAGCTAATAGGTGCAAATTTTCTATAGCCCTAAAACCAAAACTTGTTGTTGTTGTTATACCCTAAAAAATAGTGCTAACGACTGGCCATAATTGAAGGTTCTCTCTTATCACCGAAAGGGTCAATTAATCATAAGGGTTTATGCTTACGAGAAACCTAGAACTGGATCATAAAATAAGGATAATATTTCTAGGAAGTGCTTTATCCATTGTTTGATCTACTTTCTGAATATTTAACCTAGAATACAAACTCACTCATAAGACCCGGGTGTGAAATTTTGGATTTCACACCTGTGCATCAAGATCTAATATTTTAGAATAAAAATAGCCCAATATATTCATGCACCTTATTTCAAAATGTCTAAAATTTGGATTGGTTTCTAACTCTCCCCCGCCAATTATCCAGTCCTGTTTACACTTGTGCAACTTGCAAAATCAATGAGTTAGTTGCAAAATCATCATCACATAATCATCCTTAGTCTTTTCATAGCTTCTTGTGGTCGACGTTATGAATTGTTATCCTTAATTTCTATTGAATCTACATGAGATGTGCTATTTTTTAGGCAAATTCTTATATACAGAGCTATTCATGAGGTTATCTTTGTTGTATCCCTTTTTTTCAAATCTTTCCAATTTTGTTGCTGGTCTAATTAGTGGACCTTTTACATCTATTATGATTTATGCATGCCAAATTATATAATTTTATTTTTTTTCACTTTTTTATCTTATACTTCTCATAAGTTATACCTTATCTCTAATATAATATTTTTTTTAAGAAAGCTTTAAATTGTATCTTATAGCTCAATTAATGTCATCACATACAAGGCCTATTTGTGAATAGGCGAATTTCCAGTCTACATCAATGACATGTGACCCATTGCTGCAATAGAAGCCAAAACTAATCAAATGATAAGGATGAAGGCTCAGCATCAACCACGTTCACGTTTCACTTTAAGTAGTTTCATACTTGAAAACTTTTTTCAGCAAAATCATTCAATTTCTACGGCACAATCATTTAATTGATCCACTAGCTTTCTAATGTGAAAAAAGCTGTTATTTTTACGTGGTCCTCAGCTGAACACTTTGCATGCTCCCCTTTAGAGTTTCTTCCAGTTGTAGTACTACCTATTTCAATTCGATTTGATTTGATCTATGACTTCTATTCTGTCCTCCTTTGCTTCTTGAGTGAACACGTATGGTAACATTTGAGGAACAAACTTTGACTTTTCTTTCCTTTTACTTCTTATGCATCACACTACAGGAAAATCACCTATTATCGGCGGAATTTTCCGGTGGTTTTCCGACGGAATACAATGAGATAACATTTCCGGCGAATTTCTTATCGTCAAAATTTCTTTCTGGTAATGACTGATTTTCCTGTAGTGTCAGTATTAACTTGCAGAATGACTTCGTAGGGTACAACAGAAAAAGAAAAATGTCCCATTCATACACAATGGAACAATGTTAGGTGAGCTATCTGATCACCTATTCTATGGTCAGAACCTGAAGAGCCAGTACACAAATTTCCCTGTGGATACTGATAACTGTAAACTGGTACATATATATTTATATGCTCTTGATAAATTATGTAGTTAGTCATATTCTCTTTCTGGTTGCAGTAATTCTTTGTTACAGGGACAAGAGTGCATATATCGCTAAGGTGCAATGGCTTGTGTATTGTTTGTTTGTAATTAACTTCCTGTGTTAAGGTTATGTTTTGTTTGTCTTTGTATGATTTCTTCAACTGTATCACAGATGATCTGTCATTCAAAGTAATGGTGGATGTAGTAGTGGTAAGTGGGCTCCTTATGGGATTATATCATAATTGGCAAGGTAGAGCTAGCGAGAGCTGGCCTATTTCCACATGTCTTGTCTCAAGTTCTTGTCTTCATATAGTACGTGGCCAACCTTCTAAAGAAGAATTCAGTCAGCTTCTGAGATTATAAAATTATCATGATTTTTGTTACTTATTACTAGTTTTTAGGTATGTTGGCCCTGCTGTATCGGCATTTAATGACATTCTCTTTTTAGAATCTTTTCTGTTCAAAAGAAAAGTCTTGGATTTGGATGAAGTTGAGCTCAAGCTCATCATGGGAAATAATTGTTTTTATGAACTCTGAAACTATTATATAGGAAGCTATTGCTTCATCAGGAGATTACACAGAAGGTGAGCGCAGCTCAGGATTTTTATTTTGAAAAATTTTGAGTTAGGATATTCAGATCTAAATTTAATTAGTATGAGTCTCAAAGCTATTAAATTTATTTTGAGATAAATGAAATACAGTCAAAAATAGTATTGCACTCTTATTTCAAAGTAAATCCAATGATTTTGAGATCAATCCTAATCAAAATTTGGTCTCAAAGCCGTTGGATTTGCTTTGATGATATGAGTATAATATATATGTAATCGATCAATCAAAATTTGTATAAAATTTACACTCATCTTAAAGCAAATCCAATGTCGTTAAGACCCGTCATGACCCAATTTTTATGAAAAATTTTGAGTTTTGATGCTGATGGATCCTAAAGTTACTGGATTTTCCTTAATAAGATTGTAATAGATGGGTAATCAATTAAAATTATAGTGTACTCATCTCATAACAAATTTATGGCTTTGATATCCATCTCAATATAACAAATTGTCAGTATGGATTTCAAAGCCTTTGAATCTATAGATAATTAGTTTAAATTTATATTGCATTTATCATAAAGTAAATCGAATAGTGACTTTGCTCTGTATTCCTTAGTAGTATCTATACAGAGCAAAACCGATAGCTAATTAATATTGTTGTGAAGGAATTTATGAGCCATTCTCATGTGTTGTCCATTTTACCAGAAGATTCATATGCCAAGGCATCATAGTGTTTGTTTGGTTAGCTTGGAAAACTATTTAAAACTCCCTTTGCCTTGGAATCTTCCTATAAAGCATCTTCATGGCGATGGTGGACCATTTTTGCTTCAACTCTTCCTCAAGACTTCAGCTTTCTTGAAGCTATAATATTATAGTTGTCTTTACCTCTGGTGATGGGGCCTCATGCATGATTTGTTAGTCAACAAGTATTTTGGTAGCACATTAGACAAATCATGGCTATCTCACATATATTTTTTGTGCAAAATAATCTCACACTACATAAAATATAACTTGCTTAACACTTGACTTCTTATCCAACTCCTTTTTCCAAGTCTTTTTTAGAAAATATATAGAAGACATGCAAACGATACGAACTTAGCTTCACATTTCAAGTAGTAGACATACAAATTTATCCTGCTATATCGTTGAGTGAATGGTTGCAGGCGTTCTCCATAGAGTATTCTGCTGAACTTTCTCATGAAATTCCTCCTTTTGTGTTTGGGCTGCATGTGTTTAAAGAACTGGTTATATGAAGACTTGCTTAGGATTTTTTTTTTTTTGCTTTTTTGTTTTTTTGAGAAGGTTTTAAGAGAGATATACCTGAGATTTGAGACACTAAGAACTTCTGTGAGCAGCCTCATTAGATGGACTTGAGTCTGCAATGAGATGACATAGTCTATGGTCTCACCCAGCAGTGAGAGATCATCCAAGGACTCGCCTCCTGGCACAAGGCTTTTGAGAGTTCTTGTTCTCTTTTTGGCCATGGACCGAGCTATAACTCTTGCAGTTGCACCATTAGATGCATGTGCTCCTCTTCTTAAAATTGAATTAGTTCTTCTAAATCTCCTTTTCATTATCATCTTTTGCCAAGTAAAGTTCAACGGGGCGAAGCCTGGCTCGGTTATGCTCTCATACCTTTTCCTTCCCAGTAAACTCCTCAGAAGAACTTTGTTCTTCTCATGCTTCGCATGGCGAATGATCAATGCACGACTCCAATTCATGCCATTGCCAGCGACCGCCATGGCTATGTTTGCTGAGAGCTTTATGACTCTCTTCCTCTCTTGATAGCTCATCTTTCTGGATGAAACTCCAAGTTTGAGACCCATGAACATGGTCTTGAGGAAAATTCGATGGAACGAAAGGTCAGCAGCCTGCATTGTTATGAGAAAAATGATTTGCAGACACTTTACTTTGCTCATGCAAAGCTCAAGTGGCTATATATACTAGTACCTTCACAGTTGAAGTCCCTGATAAGAAGAGAGGTGTAGGGAAATGGGAAGAAATATGGAGAGGGAGAAGAATCTTAGGTACTCTTATATATGAATAGAAAGAGGAGAAAGGTTGAAGCTAGCTGAATGATCTTAATCTGAAGTTGAGCTTAGTATCTATATATTTTGGTGTAGGGAAAGAGTGGGTCCTTACATAAGCAGAGACACTCCACATGCAAGCACATGGTGTTTTAGGCCCACCCTTTCTGGTTACTACTAAGGCTTTGTTTAGAACGGTTTTCTTACTTCTTCTTGAAGCAGCTTTTTTTAGTATAAAATTAAATTATTTGAACTAAAAAGTTGCTTTAAGACGCAACAAGAAAACCGTCCCAAACGAAGCCTAAGTTTAAACTCCAAAGTTGAAACTATATATAGTTTTCTAAACGTTTAAGTTTGTATAATATTTGTATGGAGCCTTACATATAAATACTTCAGAGAAAAGAGAAGGGTCGTAATGCAGGCGAATTATTACGTCTGGTCACCGGACGTCCAGACATCCAATCCAGACACGCCACGTCACCCAAATACGCTGGGACCAGGTGTATTTTGATGACGTGGCACGTCTGGATTGGTGTCATGACGAATCCGGACACCGGACGTAATAATTTTCCGGTAATGCAAGGGTAAAGATACAGTGGAGTATCTATTGGAGACTGTGCCTTACCCATCCTTCACTGACTCAGTGACTTGAACTCACATGGTGGTCACATGGAATACTTAAAAACTTTGGCTGCTGCTGCTGCCATCTTTCAGAAGTTAGAAGTTAGAGATTGCTTTGGCTTTGAACTATTTTATCACTTCCTATCTTTTTGCCTTATTAATTTATTATACCTTTGTGTTCTTCAATAATTGGGTCTCCAGAATCCAATCCCTTATCTCTTTTCTTCCATTTCTGGAGGAGATAGAAAATTTTATTCATTTGACTGCACCACATCAGGATTACAAGTCAACTCAAATAAATTTGTGGAAATATCTTGCAGTATATACTTACTTACCATAAGAAGACCTCAAAAACATTACAAATCTGCTTCATTCATCTGGGAAAAAATGTTCCTGGGTCCTGTAGGAATTGAAGAATGTAAATTTTGGTGTTAAATGAAATTTTCAAATGCGTTAGAAATCCAAATACATAGGGTATGGAAAAGTGTTGTACCTGCACAAGTTATAAGCAGGCAATATGATTCCGACAAAGGTTTAAACCCTGGAAAAGTATGGATTGGGAGTTATCATTTTCGCATACCACCATTGGCTTAGATTTCGTTTGAGGCGGCTTTCGTACGGCTTCTTAAAACAGCTTTTTAGTACAAAAAATAAATTTTTTTGCATTAAAAAGTTGCTTTAAAAAGCTGAAAGATTAATGCTAAAAGTTATTATTTTTTTTTTAATTAGAAAATCCCTCATCTTCATACTAAAATGATCAATTTTAAAATATAATACTTTCAGTTGGTGAACTATCTTTATGGATTAGCTATTTTATTTTTAAATGAAATATTTTTTATATACAAAAATATCTTACTTTCAAGTATGAGATAAAGAATTAATAAAGCTCGCTACTTATAAACTGTCATCATAGATTAGGGGTCTAAGTGAGTCAAGCCAATTCGTTAGTTAGCTCGAACTTAACTTGATAAATGGCTCGTGTGTCAGGCTTGATAAGCTAACGAGTCAAACTTGAGTCAGCCTCGACTTGACTCGTTAACTCACGAGCTGACTCGTTTAAAAAATATTTATATAAAATACATGTAAATCAAATTTATTAGAATTCAGGAGTTTAAATATAAAACTATTAAAAATATTAAAAAAATCATATCTTATATAGACTAATTTTTTTATTATTTATCTTCTAATTTATAATTATTATTTATAATTTTATTATAATAACTACTTTCATTGTAATCATATTTGTAAATAAGATAATTATATTTGCTCGCCAAAAACATGCCTGTAGTTTTCTTAAAACTTTATTGATGGGGAACATTTGAGCTGACTTGAGCTAACTTTAGACAGTGGAAATTTGAACGCTTGCAGGAAATTCATGTCCTTTGGTGTCACTTCGAATCATTTGAACGTGAAGAAGAAAATTTGCTCGTCAGCACTGTTTTGATTTGATGGTGAAGAGATAGATCATTCATTGACATGTGTAATAGGAAGATTCACGTGTATCAACCACCTTTGCACTCGGCTTCGGTTTTAATACAATAGGGATGTCAAAATAGGTTAACGGATCATATTTGGATCTAACGTAAACCCGACATAACCTAAATCTCTTTGATTCAAACTCTACCCGTTTAATAAATAGGTCAAAAAAAGTGAACAAACAAACTCACTGGGATTCAAGATGATCCAAAAAACCATTTTGATTCAAAGAAATTTCTTATAACATGTCAACTAGCTAGATAGTTTATCTAATTGGTCAAAAACAAGATCGATCATACAAATGATTAATTATTCTATGCTGACGTCGAACGTCATTTAGAGTCCAATCAGAATACGCCACGTCATCCCTATGTCCGGTACCTCATCTCGGTACTGCAACTCGATACTGTTGATGTGGTACATTTTGATTGGTCTCCGGATGACGTTCTGTGCCTAGCCTCCACACAGAAAAAAAAAAAATGAAGAAGAAGGAGAAGAGCATGAACAGCCCAATGATAATGGATTTTTGTGAAGGATATGAATCCATGTGCATGTCTCTTTCACTCGTGGGCTGGATTGAATTACATGCACGTGGAATTGGAAGGGTGCATGGCCCCTTGGCTTAACTTGTAGGGATAGGACCTTCTGACTGCTTACCTATAAAAACATAGGCTTACTGCTGGAATACGACCAATTCCACTTTGTCCCACTCCCACAGTTAGGTCACTCTCCCTTCCCTTCATTACACAATTATTGTTCTCTCTCTCTCTCTCTCTCTCTCTCTCTCTCTCTCTCTCTCTCTCTCTCTCTCTCTCAAGTCTTGTGTCGAAGAATAAAACACATAATCCTATAACTCGTGGTTAAGGTTTCATCTGTAATGATCGGCAAACATATAAGGAATGATCGGCAAACATATAAGGAGCATGCGCAAAATCAGTACATGCATGTAAATCATATAGTCTATCATGTGAATGTACTAGTAATTAGTTTAGTAGTTAACTATGGATTAATTAAGATTTATGTCGATTAAGGGGGTGTTTGATTAGCTAAAAGAAGTGTAAGGGATTCTAAGTTTCCAACTATAAAGGATTTCAAAGTTTGAGTATTTTGGTTTGCTTAAATTAAAGAGAAGGCATTGGAAAATTTTGAGTGAGTTATTTGTTATTTTTCTCACTCTCTAATTTATTTTTTATGTATTATAAATTAGCTTAATATTGATTGATCATCACCCAAGTTGAGAGCGTTGTCGCCCACCAAATTCCCCAAACTACTGCCACCGCCTCCACCGCAATCTCTGGCCACCACCACAAGTCACCGCCGCCATCGAAAGCCCTCATGATTTTTGGACATGTGCACTAATTTTAGGGCAGCTTTAATGGATTTGAAATATATTCTAACAAAAAATAGTTGGTCAACAACATATATTGACCTTTTTTAAGTTGACTCATGATATCTTGACCTATTTTATATCATAATAATCCTAATTTGATTACATGTGTTCGCTAAATCAAATTGTATTTAATCTCCCCCAATTGCGCTTGATTGTTTGTTAATTTGAAAGAAATCATCATAATTTGGTCAGTGAGTTAACTTAGGCTTCGTTTGGGATGACTTTTCTTACTGCTTCTTAAAGCTTCTTAAATTTTTGTAATAAAAAACTGTTTTAAGAAGCAGTAAGAAAGTCATCCCAAACGAAGTCTTAATCAATCAAATTCAACCTTATCCCACTCCCACTCTTAGGTCTCTCTCTCTCTCTCTGGTTGAGTGTGAAAGCATAAAACAAATAATTATATACCTCATGGTTGGGTAATATATGTAATGCTCAATATATACTTTCAGATCATTTGGTTTATTGAAAAATGAATGCATAATAAAATAAAATGCAATGTAAAGGAACATAATGTTTTTGAAATATTCGGATTTAATTGAATGAGCATAAAATAATTGCAGGTCATTGATTTTTTTATTTGGCTTGAAATAAAATGAATATAATGTAAAGTCCAATAATGATGGTGGCTAGTGGCTTGTGATGACAGGGGTAGCTAGCGAAGACCACAACAATGTTTAAGCGGGCAATTTATTCTTTAATGATGATAGAAATAATTAATTATTTTTAAAAAATTATTAATTCTTACTTGAAAAAACTAATTAATGTAAGAATTATAGTAATAATTCTAAATTGGTTGATGAATTGAATGTGGCCACCAATAAGTTATGAATGGTCCAACTTTAGTATTTAGAATGAATGATCGAAATATGAGGACAAAACTTTAAACTATTTTTTAATAGTTCATTGATTATAGGCATTAAAATATGAATAATTAATATCTTCAGCTATATATTATATGTTTAAAAGTAAAGTGAAATATATGAAATAATATAGCAAAAATTAAAACCATTTTCATATATTAAATTCAATTTATTTTATTATATATATTATTTATTTCACACATCACATTTTATTCTTCATAACATGCTAGAAATTTTGAGTCAATAGAGTTGGTATTTTATGTCTTAGCTTCAAATAGAAACTCAGCACGCACAAAATAAAAGTGGTATGATGAGAAATTTTTTAAAGGGAAAAAACTACGGGGTCTAGCCAGTTGAAAATCCATTATGTAACAAGAGATACAAAAATCCTTTATTTTGCACTAAAAGAGAAAAACGGGGGTGATGATTGTTGGATGTGGTTGAACAGTTAATGCGTGACAATATGGTTAGATCTTGATTGTAAATTGGAGATCAGTATGCATAAAGTACTTGATTTTATCTCATTTAGGCTTGTATTGGACCACTTTGGGTATTGTTGGGTTTGTCTTATCAAGATGTTTAGTTCGACTATAAATTTACTGAAATTTGAGTTCAAATGAACCTAAATTTAAGTAGATCATAATATAAAATGTATGAAGATTTCATTTTGGTAAAAAAAATTTTTCCCAAATATAATGGATGAAATCAGAGAAAATGTCTAGCAAAAGCTCCTTCCTTCTTCAAGATGAATATCTTGCATGCTTATATACAGTTAATACCCTCTATATGTATCAATGGATCTCGAAGCCATTTTGGTTACTTTAGCTTTGATAAAGGAGCAAAAGAGAATCTTTGCGGCCTGTAGGTGGGCAAATTATTAAGTTCGGTGTCTGGATTCGTCCGGACATCAATCCAGAGGCGCCACGTCATCAAAATACACCGGGAGCCAGTATATTCGTGTGACGTGGCGCGTCTGGATTGGGTGTCCGAACGTCCGGTGACCAGACGTAATAATTTGCCAGGTAGGTGACATGTAAGAGAGAATATAAAGAGTAGAAGTTATTAATTATATTTTTTCTTAGCATATTATTTATCTTTTTATATTTATAACTCTAATAAAAAAATTTAAAATGATCAAAGTTAGTCCTAAACTCATTTCAACAGACTTAAGAGTGCTCTTAAAATAGGTAATTTGTGCCCCCCTAACGAAAAAAATTTATAGATCCGTCAATAATTTGGGAGCCAAATATTATTTTTGGCTTCATTTGGGCAGCCATTATTTTTCGCTGCTTTCAAGAATTTTTTGAGTTAGAAAGTTATTAATTATAGAAAGCAATAAGAATGAAAATTATTCCAAAGGAAGCCTATATATAAACTATAAAGTATACTTATGTTTCGTTTTGGACAATTTTTTTTGCTTTATAAAACAACTTTTTTGCAGAAAAAATTTTAATCATAAATTTTGTTCTAGAAAATTACTTTAGAAAGTGGTAAGAAAGTTTATCCAAACAAAGCCTTATTCTTTAGTTATTGTCATGGAATGGCTATGATTTTTTTTCTTTGCATCCAATTTGAGCACACTAATTTATATTTCTTTTATTAATATTTGTACTTCAATACCCCCTATTCCAAAATTATAATAATAATATTTTTCTTTTATTTTTAAAATATATTTTTAATATATATACCATGATGAGTGAGCTCAATTGAATTCCTTTTTTTTTTTCTTTGAGTGAAACTCTTTTGGTGATGTAAACAGATTCAACACTACTACATAAAACCTCAGTCCCCCAATTCTCTAATCAGCCATTCTAAGTTGTTTTCTTATAATTTTTGTTATGAGTTTTAGACTTTTTAAGTCTGATTTCTCCAACTTCTTCTATATGACGATAAAATTTAAGTTCAGGTAGACCTATTTAATAAACGGGTCAGATTCAGGTTGAATTTTTTGATCCAATTATTAAATGTGTTAGATTCAGGTTGATCCGCGTACTCATTTTTTACCCGAAAAGACACCATTAATGTTTTTTTCTTAATTTTTTTTTACTTGTGGGTATAATCTTTTAATATTTTTTTATCAAATATGCTAAATTTCATAGTTAATAAGTTCTAAAAAAAATTTAACCAAAATGGGTTAATGGGTCATGTAGGGGTCATTTGGGTTGCTAATAGGTTGGATTCGGTTATTTTTTAACCGTTTATTTAGGTCAGATAAATTTCAGGTCAGACCCAAATCCTACCCGTTTTGGAGTAGTTCTTTTTGGCTTCATCTTGCAACCTCTTGCTTTCTAATATGAATACATAATATCTCAGCTTCCCCGCATTGAATTCTAAGCTTCATTTTCTTCATCTGTGCACAAACAAAGGACCTCTGTTCAGCTGAACCAAACTTGACCACGTTTTCTGAAAGTTGAATCTTCATAAACAGTCTGTATAGTATAAAGTAGAGATATAAATGCTGAAAGAGGGAACATCATTATGCCTTCTTTATTAACCCTGACTTCTGTTTCCAAAGATGTGTAAGCCAACATAAAGAAGAATCCCCTCCCTCTTTACTTCTTCATTTTTTTCATCCATTGGCTGCTTCTCAGAGTTCAAAGTTCAACGCCTAACAATCATAATAACGTTCCTATTTGTTCCCATTCAATAAATACTTTCATAAATGAGACTGGTGTTTGATGGTTGCTGAAAAAAATATCTAGATTTGTTACTTGTTAAAGAATTTGTGGTAGAAGAGTGTATGTTATATAGATAAAAGCTGTGAAAATGATCTTAGGCTCGATAGAGATTTATCTCGCTGAGCTGCTCGATTTGACTGTATGCATGCAACTTATGGAGATTATTTGATCCCTCGATTAATATTTAAAAGTTTTTAAATATATTTAAGTTTACATTCTGAATGTTTTTAATTCAAAAGATATCTCGAGATTCGTGCCTATCAAACAATTTTTTTAGAGACTTATCAAGATTGCAACATCCAGCTCATTCAGATTACCATGACATTTACTTCACAACTCTGCACTTCTTCTTTCTTTCTTTTTCCCTATAAAGGTCTCTCTATGGCTTTAAGCCTTCAATGGAGGGCTTCCTTTGCCCTTTCTTGTGCCATCTGCCTATGCTTTTGGAGATGGCCTCAGGGAGGGAGACTTAGAGAATCATGATCCCATTCTTCCTCTTGGTTGCTAGAGATTGGCCTTCGATGATTTTTGCATCGAAGGGATATAAGAAGAGATTGAAGCATCACAATAATAGCGGAGAACGTGTTACTTTCACAGGGCACTATCCTTATCGAGCTTTTTTTCTCCCCGTCTTTCGTTCCTCTTGTCTTTGTCATTCTTAAGCTTCGCGTTATTTTCTTGATCTTGCAAGACTTTTCAAATAAGAAGAGCTTATCATAGCCGCCTTCTATTCCGTTTATGTCTGTTCTTGCCATCAACATTCTTGTTGGTGGTCTCCTTTTTCTTACTCTTGTCTATCCCTCTGGAGCTTGTTTGTATTTTAATAAAATTTGAGAGCCAATGAGCATTGAACTAGTCATGGCTGCCTATAGCAAATATGTTCTTAGAACTGTTCTATTTGAAATTTTTCATAGCCTTCAGTGTGGAGAAAATCTCTCATTGCATGTTAAATGATGTAGAATTCCTTGTTAGTTTGTCTGGAAATTAACTTAGACTTTGTTTATGATAGCTTTTTTAATTGCTTTTAATATATATATAAATTATTTTAAAAACATAAAAAAGCTGCCCCAAACGAAGCCTTATTATTTTCTAAAGCAGAATAATTTTAGTTTAAGAAATTTTTGTACTAAAAAATCTCTTTAGAAAGTAATAAAAAAGTCATCCCAAACGAAACCTTAGTTCATTATATGCAATTTTTTGTTGATTATGATGTTTTTTGTTTAAGTAATTATGCAGACTTAGTGGTTTTTGGGAAGCAAAGGGTTATTTAACCGGTTGGGTTTTGCACTGGTGTGTAAATTTATTATTGTTGAAGGATCAGAGATGTTGACTGTAACATTTTACAAAGTCTATCTGTTCTAGATTACTTTAAATGGTATGAGAAATTAACAAAACTCATGGAGCTACACTGCTACAGAACTGAACCTGTTTAAATTCAGCTTAAGTGAGCCAACCTTGTTTAATTTATACTTAGCTCGAAGTTAAGCTCGACTGAAATGCTTGAGCTCCATAAAAAAGCTCAAGCTTTGCACATTTTTGGAGCTTGAATTCCTATTTTGAATATGAACTAAACATAATTAATCATACGAATATAAATGTCAATATACCAATTGATATTAATAGAGTTTGCTCGAGAAGTCGATGAGCCCAACCTTGAAAATCTTGAGTTCGAGCTCCTATAACATAGGCGCTTGAATTTAAGCTCAAATTTGAAGTCTTAGCTTGATAATTTGATAAACTCGACTCATGATCTCGCTAACGAGCCAAGTGAAGCATATATCTATCAACAGAACAAGCAAAAAAAAAAAAAAAAACATTCATATAATTACATACCCAAAAAAAAAGGACAAATCAGTTCGAAATCAACAACTAGTGATAGAGATTAAGGCTCCGTTTGGGACGACTTTCTTACTACGTCTTAAAAAAACTTTTTAGTAAAAAATTTTAATTTTATACTTAAAAAACTGATTTAAAAAACAGCAAGAAAGCCGTCCCAAATGTAGCCCAAGAAGAAGATTAAGCAAATAAAAAACACAAATGAAAGAATAGGACCAACCAAAGAATTGGTGAAATGAACTCAACCAAAACCAAACAATACATACAATCAACTCTAGCAGCCAAAAATGACCGTTACATGCTAATTGGCAGCAAATATCCAAAGCCTTCTGCCACTATCCCTCTGTGAAGAAGAACGAGATAACCCAAACCTTGAGCATCTTATAAGGCTTGGGCTGGTCTCTGAAGCCCCCATACAGAAAGAGGAGCTATACCTCATGGATGAAAATCTCTGGCAGCTAAGAGATCTAAAGGAAGCAGAGCCAAGAGGTGGTATACCGGTGCAGCCGAAATCCGGCCTGCATGACTGGATCACCCCTGAACCATCTGATTCTGATCTGACCGCCGGGCATGTTGTGCATAAGGATAGTGATAGGCTGGTCCTCGACGGTTCGCTGATTGGGCTCCCACACGGCAGGCTCGAAAATGAGATGATCGCATTCCGGCATAGGGGGCAAGGTATCGATCCTGGTGGGCCGGAAATGATGGTGGAGATGGTGTTTGTCGAGCAGAGATAAAGCGCACACCTAGTGCAAAACTCGTGGCTACAACCTGAAATCATAAGAAACTCATATCAGTTCCTTCATGTAATTCGATTTTTCTTCTAAAGATATGAGGGCTAACTGCATTTGAAACAAGAAAGATGTAAATTTTCATTTAGGCTTCGTTTAGTATGGCTTTCTTTCTACTTCTCAAAGCAGTTTTTTAGTAAAAAAAATTAAATTTTTGTACTAGAAGGCTGCTTTAAGAAGCAGTAAGAAAGCCATCTCAAACAAAGCCTTAAGTTGGTTCATGCTTCTCTGCTTTTGAGGTTTAAAATTGCTTTTTCAATCATATTTATATTATGCTATTCCAAACGCAGCTTTTTCTTTTTCAATACATATTTTGAAAAATAGTGAAAAGCTGGTATCCAAATGAATATTAATTTTACTGACTGTTTTTCCTTTCACAGAAGCAGTAACAAAGCTGTCTCAAACGAGGCAATTTTAGTATTAAGATGATGCTAAAAAGCAAATGAGATGACTTGGTTTTCTTCTTTAAAAAAAAAAAAATCTGAAGAATTATATTCTAAATTATAGAAAAAGAGTAAAAAATAGGTAGATAGTAGCAATTACAAACGAAAGCAAAGCCGACAAACAGTTGTACTGATATTTGAAGGTGATCCTGTAAGGGCATCTCCAACCGAAAAACCCATTTTTCGCTCTAAAATGCAGTAAAACGTCAAAATGCCATAATTTATCTCCTATTGAACTGCATTTCTTTCTTTTTTTGCGCTTCCTGCGAAAGCAACAATCTCTCTCCTCTTTCGTGCGCTTTTCTCCTCTTTCGCGCTCGTCTTCGGCAGCCAAATTTTTTGGCATAGGTGAACAGTCCGACATATTGGCGTCGAACTGTTCACCTACCAAATTTTAGCGTAAGATTTAAAGTTCGAATGCAACGAATGACGGACGGTATACGGTGGTATGCAATTCGGTTGGAGATGGTCTAAAACAAAGGTAAGAAAACAAAAGAGCTATAAGTTGGTTGCATTCTTCAAGAAATTTATACCTTCTGCAGACACAGTGCATGTCCTTTCCAAACAAACAGCACAAGGATCAAAACTTGGAGGACACTGGATTGTACCTCTCCATCCATGTTCTCTACAAAAATGAAGACAAGAAACAATTCAAACTCCTTGCAGAAAGAACTGAAATATTTATATAATTGGCACAATATTTAACAGCATAAGAATATCTACAAAATACGCCAATCCCAAGAGATTTGATAAGGCAAATGATGATGAGTATATAAAAAGTGTACGCACCTAGCGATTGTCATGATGCTCATTAAGGGTAGAGATAAGTATGGCGAAGGAAGAACGTGCATTGAACTCTGTTGTCTGCTCAGAATACCCTCAAGCCAATTTCTATTCCATGACCGAGCAACCATCAAAGGAGTCCATCTTTGGCCATGAAACATAAAACAGATGAGCCTAAGATAATCTCAATTTGCAATGGAATAAAAAATTAAATATGATGAAGAAATCAAGGCTTCAAATATCTTCAGAAACCAACTATGACAGTTCTTTGGCAGAAATATCAAAAAACAAATTACATTAACTTACAGTGATGGCAACTAGGACAGTGATGACTACTACGTTATCTCCAATATTGTGACTGAAAGCTCAATGAGAATTGTATAATTTTATCAAGATTTAGGAGATTTAAATTTTGTTTGGGATGGCTTTTTTATTCTTTCTTAAAATGAAATTTTAATAAAAATTTTAATTTTTTTTATTAAAACTCCATTTTAAGAAGCAAAAAAGCCGTCCCAAATGAAGTCTTAATAGTTGTGCCAAACAATATTCAGGATTTAAAATCCTAAGAACTCAATAAATCTGTATTTAGATGATTTAGTAGCGAAACAATCTCTTACAAAATTTTATATAAATAGACAATTATAAGGCATGAAAAGAAAGCTTAATTCAACAAAAAATTATATTCCAATTTTAAATTTTATGAAATTAAATTAGATGTGTGATTCCTTCGAGTGCAATCATCTGATTTTAGGGGACGTAATCTCTACACCAATTTTAAATTTAAAAAAAAAATATTGAAGATGACTCTTATTATTGGTGGATATATCTGATTATTACACAACAACAATAACAACAATAACATCAAGCCTTTATCCCACTATGTGGGGTCAGCTACATGAATCATTTTTCTCCATCGTGTCCTATTAAAAATCAAATTCTCGTTTAAATCTAATAGAGAAAGATCATTTCTAATATTTTCTAACCAAGTCTTTTTAGGTTTGCCTCTACCTTTCTTAACATAAGGCAAATCTAATGCCTCTACTTTCCTAACCAAGTCATCGGAAGGCTGTCATTTTATGTGACCAAACCATCTAAGGCGACTCTCTATAATCTTATCTTCTACTGGAGCTACTCCAACCTTTTCACGTATATACTCATTTCGTATCCTATCTCTAAGGGTAAAGCCACTCATCCACCTGAGCATCCTCATCTCTGCCACACTTAATTTCACTTTTAATGGCCAACATTCGGCACCATAAAGCATTGCAGGCCTCACCACCATCTTATAGAATTTCCCTTAAGTTTGAGGGGTACTTTTTTATCACACAACAAGCCCTATGCATTCCTTCACTTCAACCATCCAACTTGAATTCTGCTGATAATATCCCCATCTATTTCAACATCACTCTGAAAAATAGATCCAAGATATCTAAAACGTGTACTCTTATTAATGACTTGATCGTCCAAAGTCACAATCCCCTCACTAGGTCTATTACTACTAAAATTACACTCCATATATTCCGTTTTAGATATACTCGAGAGAAAACCTTTAGACTCTAAGGTTGACCTCCATAATTCAAGTTTACCTTCAACTCCCTCTCTAGTCTTATCAACAAGAAGAATATCATCAACAAAAAGCATACACCAATGTAAATCCTCTTGTAAATGTCTAATGAGAACATTCATGACTAAAACAAAAAGATATGGGATTAAGGCTGATCCTTGATGTAACCCAATCGAAATAGGAAAATACTTGATCAAACCACCTTGTGTTTGAACACAAGTAATAGCTCCTGTATACATAACTTTAATGATTTGAATATAAGCGTTATTAACTCCTTTATTTTCAAGAACTCTCCATAGCACTTCTCTTGGAACTTTATCATATGCTTTTTTTAAATCCATAAAAATATATGTATATCCTCTTTATTTTCTCTATATTTCTCCATAAAACCTCTTAATAAATGTATGACTTCCATAGTTGACGTACCCGGCATGAATTCAAATTGATTTTGAGAAACATTAGTATCCGCCGCAACCTATGCTCCATAACTCACTCCCATAATTTTAAAGTATGACACAATAACTTAATTCCTCTATAATTCGCACAATCTTGTGCATCACTCTTATTCTTAAAAATAGGAATTAACACACTCATTCTTCACTCATCTAACATTTTTTTAGTTTTCAAAACAGTATTAAAAAGTTTAGTAAGCCAATAAACTTCATCTCCTAAGCATTTCCACACCTCTATTGGAATATCATCAGGTCCAACAGCTTTTCCACACTTCATTTTCTTTAAAGGCTCTCTAACTTCGGTTTTACTAATACAACGATAAAAACAGAAATCTTTATTTTCATTTAGGGTGCTAAGGTCACTAGAGTCAGTCGTATTTTCACATTCTTCATTAAAAAGTTTAGCAAAATATCTCATCCACCTTTGTTGAATATCATTTTCTAAGAAAATTACTTTTTGATCTTCATCCTTAATACACTTCACTTGAACTAAATCTTACTATTCTGATAGAGACCACTTGAATATTCCAAGTGATTCCTATCGGATCTTCGCCAAAACACAATTATTCCGCTTAGTATCTAATCTATTATATAAATCACTAAAAGCTAAGGTCTTTGCATCGCATATTACTTTCTTAGATTCCTTATGTGACTCTTTATATCTTTCTTAGTTATCAGAATTTTTATAATTAAATCAATTTTTATAACAAAACTTCTTATTTTTATTTTTATCTTGTATAATTGGGTTCCACCACCAACTATTTTTACTATTATGAGATTTTCCTTTTGAAACTCCAAGCACATATTTTGTAATATTCTTAATATCACTAACCACATTTTCCCACATAGCATTAGCATCCGTATGCACAGACAAAATCTTAAGATCTAAAATCTTACTCTCAAAAATATTTTTATTAATATTCTTTAAATGACCCCATCTAATCCTAGAAAATTGCTTTACTTTATTTTTATTTTCTGCCCATTTATCTTAAAGTCCAAAACTAATAATCGATGTTGGGTACATAAATTTTTTCTTAGAATAACTTTACAATCTTTACAATCTAAACTATCTAATTTTCTTATAAGAAAATAGTTAATCTGAGTTGTATTATATCCATTTTTTATAAGTGATGAGATGCTTATTCCTTTTCTTAAATAAGGTATTAGCAATTAAAAAATTATAAGCTAAACAAAAATCTAATATGATCTTGCCACATTCATTTGTCGTTCCAAACCTATGGCCACAATGAATGCTTTTAAAATCTCCTCCAATAAAAAGTCTATCTTCAAGAGGTATCTTTTATATTAATTCTTCTAAGTCATTCCAAAAATTTAATTTTGAACTCATATTCAAACCTACTTAAGGAGCATAAACACTTATATCTGATTATTACTAGACCAATATTTTTTTTGATGTTTGAATTGTAAGTTAACACATGCAAACTCCTAAAAAATAACATTGGGAGGCTAACAAATGTCTCATCAAGTATATTAAGAAGTCATCAAAAAACGACTTATATTAAAAAAATGGATACCTTAATGTGAATGCTCTCTCCAACGGTAACTATTGGGGTTCATGGATCATAAGAAATACACATCCGGGTATTGTATCTTTGTGGAGTTTAATTTCATCACATGAAAGAGCAAGAAACAAAAATTGATGGCCCCATCAAGTGCTGAGCTAGAATACAAAGCCATAGCATACTCTATATGTGAGATGAAGTGGGTAAGACCCTCTTGGATGAAATTGGTTTCCCAATTACTCAACTAATAATTTTAAACTATGGTAATTGAGTTGACATATATATTGCTAGTAATCCTAAGATTCATGAAGAACAAAATAATTGAGTTGACATCTATATTCCCATAACCAAAATAATAAATCTCTACATAATCAAGTGTTCCATCTCGAGTTAGTAATGGAATGGAAACTTCTGGTTAATAATTAGTAGTTTAGCAAAGTTGAACGGCTCGTTTTGGTCAACAATCTACAGAGAGATGCCCGCATGAATTTTGCCTGTTGTCCTTTACTCAAGACACATTTTTCAGTTTGCCATAATCGTGAAAGAATTGTCCTTCACCTCTTCCACTATTGTAGAATTTATTTCTTTGAGATGCTCATGAATTTGTTAAAAAACTAAACATCCTCTACTCTTCCTCTTACTCTTCTACAGCACCACAAACACTGACCACCCCTGGCCGGACAATTGAAGTCAACTTTGTCCATGATGCTTGCGCGCTCGACAGTTGTAGGACTCAGTATTCTTTTCGAATGTATTTAATAAAGATGAAGCGATTCCAAAAACTTGTGAGATCCTACAGGGTCAAGCAAGGCCTTAAAATTCAGTGAGACAAGAATTCCTCCATAGCCATGTTCAGTTTGCAAATCATTTCTCATCCTATTATCCAATTACTGCAAACACCTGTAAAACTAGATAGAGATGATTTCATCCAGACCAAAGCACATAGGTTGAACAAACTTGCTTCACCACATCATCACACTTAAGGATGGCACTTGGGTGGTAGGTTCCTATGAGCTTCCATACCATCCTCAAAAATAGCTTCATATACACCTTGATAGATGAGAAATTGATCATACTGGTAATTCATCCAAGACTGTTTTGTACCAAAGCACATATATAGAACAAGCATTATAAACTACCTAGACGGTCCTTGATAAATCTACAAAATGCTGGAATTTTCGTAAATGGGTAGAGTAGGAGCAACTTAAATGCTAGTTTGCAATATTCATGGATTAGCTAATGCTTCTTGGAGAAGAAATATTCATGCTTCTTTATGGTTTTCCATCAAGAATGAACCCCAGTCTCAAGTAATAGCATATGTGACAAAATACACTTTAAGACTAAAAATGCCATAAGCTTTGATGAAAAAATCCTCAACCAATTTAAAGCAACATTTACTAGGAAAGCTTTGGAAAATTACTATAGTTATAAGATTTCGTAAATCACAATAAAAAGAATCACTAACATTTACTTATCTAAAGTAAAATACATCTTTTCATATATACGTTCTGATATGATTTGCATATCATGATGTTATATAAATAAATATAAAAATTTAGAGATTAGATATGTAAATAAATAAGAATTTAGTGGTATATATGTAAATCGCCCTGGTAATGACATACCCGTTGACATTTTCAGCAGTCAAGTTAGCACCTCTAGCGATGAGAACCTGACGTTTACATATGATAAGTAGTATTATATCTGACAATTTATGATAACAGAAAACATGATATATCATAGCCAACTTACTTCACAGCAGGCTGCATGTCCACCACATGCAGCATAATGGAGAGGCGTGCTTCCTGCGCCTAAAATACAAAAAAAAAAAAATGCTAAGTTGCACAACAATATGCACCTTCTTGAAAGAATTATAATGCTCAGTAGCAATGTAAAGGAGATATGATGAATAACTGAGCCAACAAAGATGTTTCAAGCAAAAAAGATTGGTCAACATCAAATAAAGATTACTATAAAACCAGATATTTACCAAGCAGTCATAAAAGAAAGTAATAAGAATTTTTTTGAGAAGATACACAGAAGACTAAGATACTTATTTTTTCTCCCTCTCTTTTTTTCTAGCCCACTGTATTTAGATGGATTCCCATATCAGTCCTTTTTTATTTTGTCTATTATTGTGAATTGAATGAAAGAGAAAGAATAGAATATTTTATAAACAAGGAAACACAATGACTAAAACCGTATGCATATCTATTACATAAGGTAGAAAGGAAAAATGGTATATCAAAGTAGTTCTGACAATTCAGTAATATTATGAATTTCATTTGGAGCTTTTAGCTATTTCGATTCAACTAATAGATGATTTACTTGGACTGATAAAATAAAGTATCTAGGCTTCGTTCAGAGAATACTAAATTAGAAATGGTAAGAGTAAAAGTAATATAATGGGAGTGTAAATATAGTAATATAAATGAGAAATATTAAATAAAGAATATAAAAATAAAATATAAATTTAATTAAATTCTCAACAAATTCTGAACATCATTAGTAATTAAATAGAATATAATAGAACTTACTAAAGTTAGTACCCAGAAAGTGGGCTGAATCTTTGCTTTCCATGATTATGGCATTTGGTGCATAATAAAGTCTAGCACCCATATTATACTTACTGCAATCAACTTGCTGCAGATCGACCAACATCATATGCTACACCTCAATCCAGATATTAAAACTGTATATGAACTGAACTATTGTTGCCTTGATCAAGATGATTCCAGAAAGTGATGAATATTTATCTTATTTATGTGTTTGGATCTATTTTGTAGCAAGAAAGAACATAACTTGAAAAGAAGAGGAAGAAAAAGTAATAACACCCCTAATTTCTCGTTAGATTTCACACGATGTTGTGGGCTCCGAAAATTCGGCCCCGGCCTCCGCTCGCTTTTCTTATTCGACGAGGGAGTTTTAACGAACTAAGTTCCGGGGTAAATTTTGGAAGGCAGATGGGTTTGTAGATAAGACACTACCCAGAGATTTCGCCCTCATTTTGCGAGGACTTTATGATCTGAGTTCTGGTTTCCTATAGGCGCAAGCCCCTATAGTTAATTACCCGTGTATAGGCGGTTTTCCGGTCCGTCGTACACGTCGAGGACGGAAGCCTGAGTTTAGGGGGTTATACCTTGGGGGCCGGTGGACCGACGGTCGAGGCTCGCAGATTGAGGCGGGAGAGCATTTTTGTGAATTAATTATAATTAATATTAATTATAGCTAATCATTAACTAATTATAATCTATAATTAATTATTAATTATTAATTAATTATAGTTAGTAAATTAATTGTAATTATAATTAAATAATGACTAATTATAATTAATCGAGATTAATTATAATTAATCAAATAATTATAATTTATAATTAATCACTAACTATTAATTAACTATAATTGATTAATTAATTATAACTATAATTAACTAATAATTAACACTAATTAACTATCATCATAATTAAATAATAATAAAAATAAGATAAAACAAAAAAGAAATCCAGTTTTTACTGGATTTGGCTGAAGAAGCTGGCCGAAGGGAGAAAGTTACCCACACAGCAAGCGAGCTCTTCTGCTTGCTTCCGATCAAAAGGTTGTAACTTCCGGTTCAACGGAAAGGGAAAGTCGTAGAAGTGGCAAAGTCGAACAGCCCGAATGAGCCGAAGAAGCGCGTGTTAGGTAGAAAGTTATCTCCACAGCCAGCGACTCCTGGCTTGCTTCCGATCAGACTGTCGTAACTTCCAGTCCGACAGTAAGGGAAAGTCGGGGAAGGTGCGAAGTCGAACAGAGATAGAGGGGGAAATCGGGAGCGAGGCAGCGAGAGAGCTCCCTTGTGGCTTCCGATCAAACTGTCGCAACTTTCGGTCCGTCCAGGAAGAAGAGAGAGCGGGAGCGCAGGGGGAGAACGGGAGCAGAGAAGCAATTCGTGGATTTTGGGAGGAGAAGCCGAGAGCTCCGAATGGAATCGATCCTGGAAGCAGAGAGCTCGTCTCCCTCTTATAGAAGCAAATGGGAGGCGATCGAAGCCATCGTCGCAGGATTTGTGGAGAAACGACGCGAACGGCGCTGAATCGGCGCGATTTGCGGCAGAATTTGCGGGATTTCAGTCCGAGGTACGTACAGATTTTTGCTATTTTTGTTTCTTTGTATAGAGGTTAACAGATGTGGACTAGGACTTCAGGAAAGCAGGAGCTATATGATATCATTACTAATATAACTGATGGACCAGGGAGAGAAGATGAGTAGCCAGACAGTAAGTTTTCATTTCATTCCATTCCCTAAGCGATCTATTCATAGGATAGGACCTATAGAGCATATATGATAAGAGAAGATTGTCAAAATAGCCCAAATGGAGAGAGAGAAAAGGGGGGGGGGGGGGAACCAATGAAGAGAGAGAGAAGGGGGCGGCTGGAGAGATGGGGCCCACATCTTAATTAAACATGCCTTTGGGAGGGAAATTTTGAATTAAGGGTTGTTTAGGGATTTTGCTTGAGTCCTTTTTTTTTTTTGAGTCGTATTTGTTTTAATTAGTTCCTTGGGGAGAATTAGGATTTCATCTTGAATTTTAATCTGAATTTGGGATCTCTTGTGTGGTGCTTGGGCTCTAGTCTTTGGCTAGAGAATTGGAGAGTTGGTTCTTCCTCTCGAATTGAAGATCCGTGTATTTTGTGCTGTTTTTCTTCTTCTACTAGTAAATTTCAAGTGTTTTTTTCTCAGATTTCCAACAGTTTTATGGGAAAAACTCCTGTTTACTGCAGATTTTTGCTCTGTTTTCCATTATTTTGGGCTGTTTCTATCAAGTTCCCACCTTAAAATGAATGACTAATAGTATGTGCAAAAAGAGCAAATAAGCTAGTGCTTTAAATGCAATGTGGAATGAACTAGTAAAGTTCTACATCGCAGTGCAATGAAACGAGCTTACATCATAAAGGTTGATCAAAAAGGCAAAGAGTGCCTCTCTTCATCGCTTCATAGGCAAAAAATGTGAGCTCTGCTCCTTCATAGATGAAAAGTAAAACCGGTTCCATGATGGCTAATAACATGTGCTACTCATTACATTGCATGCATGCCTTATTGCTTATTATTTTGGAATAATTTTTCTTGTTAATATTTGACTTAAACGGCCATAATTCACTTCCTAATTTGATTTTTATGATTGCCTTTAAAAAGTATAATAATATCCATATATTTCAACTAGCTAAAGCGCAAGCTTTGTTTTAGCTCCACGCTTAAAAAAAGAACCAATACTCGGAATGAAGGATGGTCAGTACAATACAATAATATAGATTGAAAGTATTTGATATAATCTTGTATTACTTCATTAAGATAAGTATTAAGGAAACAAAAATTGGACGTAGAAAGCTGCATGTGATTAAGGGCGAGGTGGTTCTTGCATTCTGCTTCCTACTTGCGTACGTCCAGAGCAAACGAGCAAGTTAGAGGGCTTCCCCTTTCAGTTTATTGCGTGCGGCTAGAGAAGGAACACGAGACCCCTCTTGTGCGTGCCTACCTAGAGGCCAAACTTTGTGAAGAGAATCAACAGAGGAGCGAGCAGGAACAACATGTGTGTGTGCCTAAGTAGGGACGACCGACCCTCGTGTGTGGGCTAGAGTCGAACCAAGCAAGGAACAAGTGGTGGAAGAGCTATTGTACATGCCATCAAATCCCCCCACTCGAAGAGCCCCTCCTTGCCCCAAATCTCTATCGCTTCTGCATGTTCACGATCCGCTACCCTCAGATATGGGAGATGTGCAAGAAGACTGAAGCCTCTTTCTAGATAACAAAAGAAGTCAACCTCTCTCAAAATCTCCACCACTATGATCAATCCCTCAAATCGGATGAACACCACTTCATAACCCATGTTCTAGCCTTCTTCACTGTCGCTGACAGAATTTCCATTGAGAACCTTACCGGTAGGATTTGGACTGAAGTCAGTTTGTTGGATTTGAAGCTCGTTGATGGAACGGTCCTGATATGTAGAGTTGCCCAAACGACGCGTGTGGTGAGGAAGAAGATGACTTTCTTGGTGGTAAGGCGGTTAACTAGGTAAGGCAGTTCACTACTCTGGTTCGGTGTGTGCTTACAATGACCGAAGAGTTGGCAAGCATGCAGATGGTGAAGTACGCAACTTCCCTAAGTAGGGAGTTGATCGTGGATTTCAAGGGTAAGGCAACATAGATATTATAAGCACTTTATCGTACCCTAAAGGAGCTGGTGCTTTTTGGTTCTCCAAGTTCTCACCACCGACCTTCATTGCCGGAATTATAAAGAATACATATTCCCACCACCGGCCTTCATTGTCGAAATCCTGAGGAATCCAAATTGCCACCATCTGCTTTTAATGTCGAAATTCTAAGGAATACATGTTTTTCCACCGGCCTTCAAATCCGGAATTTTGAGGAATACAAGTTCCCATTACTAGCCTTCATTGTCGGAATTTTGAGGAATATTGATTCTCACGACCAGCCTTCATTGTAGGAATTCTAAGGACCTTCGTGCATCCAAGACCGAGGAGAGATCAAGCGAGAGGGCTCCTCTTGCTTGCGATGTCCAAAGTCGACCGAGCAGAAGTGAGCGCAGGACCTCCTCCTATGTGTTTTTGGAAAGAGCCAAGAGTCCCCTCTCATGTGGGGACAGGGACAAGAGTGCAAGACCTGTACTCCCTCTTATGATCGGACCAGAGGGATCAGAGGCTTTGCGTGCACCTATACTAGCCTATCGAACAGGAGTCTGTTCAGGTGGAGTCAGATGACCTAGAAAGGAGGACATCAGCGAGTTCAGTGTTAAGTCGCTTGAAGTGTGTGTTTCTACTCCTGTCCTTGAAGCTTGTTGCACCCCTACAAATCTTGTTTGCACCCCTAACAAATTTTTTTTTTTCGCTTTTTTACTATCGTGCCTTTATTGTCGGCCTTCCCTTGAAAACTGCGAGGGGATGAAACCGAAGGTATATTAATCCACTATTTTGATTGTCCCACCACTGGCCTTTATTATCATTTTCTGGTATCATGAGCATTGTTTTGAAAACGCGGACCGGAACGGACGTCGATCCGTTCACGTACGCAACACCGTCCGTCTTCAATAACCTGTTGAACCGTCTAACAGCCGCGGTTTCGGTCCTTCCCTAAGAAATCGATCTAACCACGAACCAGCCAAAAACCGGTTTAAACCGCGGTTTGAACCGGCCCCGACCGTTTGAACCGGTCTTGTTTTTTAAAAACTGCCGGCGTTCAAACTAATTAATTATATTTAAATATTTTTATTTATTTATATAAATGTTTAATACATATTAAATTAATTTAAATATCATCTATCTTTATTAATAATAAGATTCAAAATTTTATTATATTATATATTCAAATTAAATATTAATATAATCTAGCTCAAACATGATGCCAATAATACGATGAAAAGCTGCTACACCATGGGTACAAGAAAAGGTATGATTAAACAACACAGACTTAACAACTTCTAAGTGATGTGACTAAACAACTAGTTATTTTTTTTGTTTCAACATTCAATGATGTGTCAATAAAAAAACTTAATTTGAAAAACTGTTAGAAAAACTTTGTTTTTTTGTAAAAAATTATTTATTTAGAAATTAAAAAAAACATCATGCATAATAATATTTTTAAAACTTTCTTAAATTATTATTAATTATATTTTTTATAATTATTCAAATACAAAATAATTTATTTATCATTTTTAAAGTTCTAAAACATTTCTAGAATGCAAAATATAAATGAATAAAAAAATAAAAAATCTTAAAAAATAATATTGTAGACTTTATAATATAGTTTATAAATATAAAATTAATATATATATTCATATATGTAAATTATGCTTAATATATATAACATAAAAGCAATTATTATATCAATATATATAATATTTGTATATATAAACTAAATTTTTATTAAATATAAAATTAAATAAAAAATTGAAGATGTTCTTATATTTAAATTTAAAATTATAATTATTTATATTTAAATATATAACATAAAATATAATATTATTTATATTTAATTTTAAAATTATGTAATAACTATTATATATGTATGAATTTTAATTTATTTTTAGTCTAAAATTCTTAGAATTATAAAAGTTTTATGAATAAATTGTCATTATTATTAATGTTATTTTATTACTTTTAATTATATTATTATTTATTACCGTCATCCGGTTCGACCCCAATTCAACCGTTGTCGAACGCATGAACCTCTAATTATTCTCCGGTTCGTTGTCCGTGTCCCGTTTTCACATACCTTGATCTTGAAGGCTTATTGTTCAATGACACAGCCTTCATTTTGCTGGCTCTACATCCTTT